TCAAAATTTAAGAAACAATACATCAATAATCTCTGATCTAACAGTTGCTGATTTGATAACTTGGTATATGAAGTTCAAGTTATTATTACTCTACTGAACCAAAATTATATAGGCTATAGCTGACCTTTTTGTGCATCTTCTTTTTATAATATAACACTCCATCTGACACTTCAAATTGCTTAGCTTTTCGTCTTATAGTCCTTTTTCTGTTAACAGAACAGGACTGGGGATACTCTGACTCCGTTATGTACAAACAAACATCTTGGATCAAATCTTCTTCTACACTCAAATCCATTATGAAAGTAATGAAACAGCTGCTCACATGTAAAGGTGTGGCACACGTGCTAGCGCGCGCGTGCTAAAAGTGGGCGGACTCTATTTCCTGGAACGGACATTTTTTTCTAGTCCGGCGGGACCGCTTTTACCAGAAAAATTGGTCCTCCGGACCATATTTACCAGAAAAAATGGTCCACCGGACCATAATTTCTACCGGACGAATTTTCCCGTGACAGGTACGCTTGAATATAGCTATAGTAATTTTGAATGGGTAAAACTGTAAATTTTTGATGATATTTAGACATAAGGACTCATCTTATGCCGTATAGCAGGTAAATTTGGAGGGGATAAATTTTGGCGAATTGCTAAATTTTGGTAATTGGTGGGTTTTAATTTTGGCGAATTTGTAGCCATGTGCCCTTGAGCATGCGTATAATAGCTCAAAATGACGGGGTTTTATTTTGGCGAATGGCTATCAAAACGCCAAATTTGCCAAATTTAATCCCCTCCAAAATCACCCGCTATATGGTATTAATTTGTTTATTTTACGTTTAATGTATTTTTAGACTCCATGGGAAGAGGTTTATTTATAAATGAATAAAAAGAAAGGTCTTTCTATTGAAGTGACTGACAGGATTGGGGAATATGTCAAGCTCTATAAATTGATAAATTGATCAATATTATTAATGGACTACTGAAATTATTAATGGACTACTGTGATACAATGGGGATATTAGATAAAGTGAGGAAGAGTAAGAGATTGAAGTGATTGTACATGTAACTGAAGCTGTAATTGAGAGACTAAGTATATTTTACTCTGGTTTTTGTAAGAGGGTCAGCCAGGTTTAAAGCAGTAGGCCAGGACTGACTTTGTTTTGATATTGCAAATGGTGACCAAACTGAGCTAAAATCAAATTGGGCCAGCTTGGGTTGTATAGGAGGGCCAGTTCAGTCTGGTGGTTACTGTTTGGCACGCTACTCCAGTGTCAATGTAGTATTAATAGTATACTAACAGCATTTATTTGATGATGACAATTATTATTATTATTATTATCATTATTATTATTATTCTCTTTTAATTTAGTTATAATCTGACCTAAAGGTCTTGCCAGAGGTCTTGACTGTTATACTGCGAGGCAGTGCTGATAGGTATGTACTGTAGCATGCATTATGCATTTACTTATGTTATGTAGAAAGTTTGAACTGATTCCGATCAAATTTGAATTTTTTTACAAATTTTTAAAGTAGCTCAAAAATTTTGCCAAAAATGAAATAGTGAAAATTCTCTATTTTATTCCATTTTCTTATTCATATGCATGTACTTTTGTTGTGTAGAAAGTTTTAACTGATTCCAATGAATTTTGGATTTTTACGAATTTTTAAAAGTAGCTCAAAAAATCAGACAAAAGTCCCC